GTCACCTCGTCACTGTACAGTGCCTGGGACAAGCAGTTTTACCCTGATCTCATCAGGTGAGCAGCAGAGCCCAGGATCTCCTCTCCAACAGACTTCTCTGGAAGGATCAGTTGGCTTCTGAAGACTCCTCAGGAACTCCACCTGAATCCCATCATACAGATGACCCATTTGGACCCTGTCCCATCCCCAGGAACCCATGTACACTCACCAAATCTTGGGGTGCAGGGCTGGTCACATATGACCTCTCACTTACCCTTTTCTTCTCTTCCAGGGAAGGCTCCGTGATGCTGCAGATTGATGTCGACACTGCAAATGGAGGGCTCAAGTTGAACCCCAACTTTCTGGTGGACTTTGGGAAGGAGCCCCTTGGTCCAGCGCTGGCTCATGAGCTTCGATACCCAGGCGGTGACTGCAGTTCTGACATCTGGATCTGAAGGGTAGCCCAAAGCCCCTCCTCCACGTTCTGAGCCCTCCCTTTAAGGAGGCTGGCTGTACTCTACTCGCTTAGCCCCAACTCTCCAAGGCCACACTGAGACTAGAGAGACCCAGTGAGTGGCAACTCACCACTGTCGCCTGTTGTTCATTGTCTAATTGAGTCTTGGAAGCACCAACAAATAAAATGTCGAGCCTGTCCTCATGTTCACTGTCATAGAGACAGAGGGGCTGAGTCCTTGGCCACTGCCACTTTCTTGAATAGAGAAGGCCTGAAGAAGACTCTGGGAGGTTGTAGTGACTAGTCTATGCCAGTTTTTCTAACATGATGCCAATGATGGCAAATATCTCCCCTTTTACGGCCATCAGACCCTAAAGATTTAGAGGGATGATTGACACAGGAAACCTGAGCAATGGGCATGTCAGTCAATATTTTATAATTTTGGGGTGTGTGTGTGTGTGTGTGTGTGTGTGTTTGGTCAAGCATGTGTATACGTGTGTGTATGTGTGCAAGCCCCAGGTTGGCACAGGGTTTCTTCCCTGATCACTCTTTGCCATATAAATATATGGACCTGGCGCTGGCTGTTGCAGGCAGGAAGTAGCAAACTTACTCCAGGGTTTCCATCTCCGTTTCCCCAGTGTTTGTCACAGGCAGGCCACCATGCCCACCCAGCTTTCAATGGTTCTAGAGACCAGAACACTGGTACCCACACACGAGAAGCTCTTGACCCTCCAAGCATCTCTCCAGTCTTATGATCTGTTCCGTATTTTTCCTAACACACTTTTGTCATGAAACTGAAAACCTCACACATCTACACTGAAAATCTCATGCTGAGACATTTCCCCAGAAGAATCCACCACAGGAGGAGCTCTGCCTCCACCTGTATTTCTACCCAACACTTTCTGTGGATCAAAACCTGCAATGAGAGGCCCTTACTGTCCACAGCTGCCTGGACTAAGCTCACCAGGAACTTACCATTTTGCTCTTGATTTCACAAACTTATTATTTATTTTTATTTTATTTTTTGGTTTTTTGAGACAGGGTTTCTCTATATTGTTTTGGAGGCTGTCCTGGAACTCGCTCTGTAGACCAGGCTGGTCTCAAACTCACAGAGATTCGCCTGCCTCTGCCTCAGGAGTGCTGGGATTTAAAGATGTGTGCTACCAACGCCTGGCGGTTTGAGAAAATAATTACAGAAAATGAGAAGTACAGAGGTTTGTAGTGGTCCTAAGGGAGGAATACAGACATCAGTTTTTTTTAATCGAAACTCCTTAATTCGCAACACATAGTTGGTTTTAACAAACAAGTTAATAGTGTTCATTATGAATAAAGAGTGTCTTCGTTATTGTTCTATTGATGTCAAGAGACACCATGACCAAGGTTTTCCTGCTGCCTCGCTTTCCCACCATGGTGCTGAAAGACTCCTATCCCTCAGGAACTATAAGCCCCAAATAAATCTCTCTGTAAGTTGTCTTGGCTATGGTGTCTTATCACAGCAACAGAACGGTAGCTAATACACACTGTCAAGTCCACTGAGAATCTGGTCTTCAGGGCCACTTGGACTTGAGAGGAACCTCTGCTGCTTTAACCTGCCCTTTACAAGTTTTCCATCCATGTGAGGAGAAGCCAAAGGCCTTGCTTGAGTGGCTCCACTTGACAGCACTGAGATAAATCTCCCTCTGCCTTGACCCTCCTCTTTGTAGACTGGTTACAGTTTACTGGGTGAGGCCTCCATGGCCTCCCTGAACACAAGAGTAGGTGTTTCCTTACAGTTACAGGACAATTCAGGAGATGCCCCTGGGACTTAGTTGACATTAGGGTAGAAGGAGTAAACTATTGTCCCCTTTTAATAAAATGTCTGGGAATATCCTTATAGGCCTCTAACTATGGTTACAGAAGACATGGAAGCTCATTTACACCAGTTTGCTACTTTTAGCTACTGTGTAATATTACATAAAGCTTGACTAAAAGCCAAACAACTTTAAATAAAACTTGGTTAGAAATACAGCTTTGCACTGGGCAGTGGTGGTGCACAAATTTAATCCCAGCACTCTGGTGGCAGAGGCAAGCTGGTCTCTGTGAGTTCAAGACCAGCCTGTTTTACAAGAGCTAGTTACACGACAGCCTCCAAAGCCACAGATAAACCATGCCTTGAACCCCACTAACCCCCCAAAAATAGTTTTGTTCTTTGAGCTATTCCTTACATAAAGAGCAGACCAGGAACTCCGCTGAGCATTTTCTTTCAAAAACCAGAATTATTTATAACACAACAGAGTGGAACACAATCATACAGAGATACACCAAGGAGCATACCCAAACCCCTGGCTCTCAGCCATGAACACCAACTCGTGGACAGGATATAAATGCATCTGCTCTGATCCCAGGAGGCAGAGGCAAGAGGATCTCTGTGAGTTTGAGGCCAACCTGATCTACAAAGTCCCAGGACAGCCAGGGCTACACAAAGAAACCCTGTCTCGAAAAACCAAATAATGATAATGATAATAATAATAATAGTAATAATAATTTGTGTGAAGGGAAAGGTTGTGATAGTTGAGTCTACGGAATATCAGAGATTGGACATTCAAGCACATACACAAGAGTCTCACATGATGAGGGAGATTCTTGGAATACTGCCCCTTGGTGAGCTAGCCATCTTTGACAGAAAAAAAAAGGTTTCTCACAAATCTAATACTGAAACAAATCACTTTAAACCATAACATTTCACTCCAGGATCATAAGGTCTAATGTCGACCTCATAATACAAAATGCATGTTTATCTCAAATCTCAATAGTTTTTATATTGTTAGAAACATAAATTCAGAGCCTGGCATGGTGGCTCAGGACTAGAATGCCAGCAGTCAGGAAGGAAGCTAAGGCAGATAGACTTGAAGTCTTCTCAGTTCCAAGGTAAAAACAAGTTATACACGTCACATGCACAATGACAAGGAGCAAACATTTTCACTCCAATAGATAGGAGGAAAATCACAATAAAAGATCAGACCAGCATAAGCCCAGAGGCAGCAGGGAAGACACAACTCCTGAGCCATTATCAAGAGCTCACAGGGCTTATGTGGCCTTATATGAGCTACAACAGACTCGGCCCCACCCCTCACATCCCGTTACCTGTGGCATACACAGCCTCTCTCTTGGGTAGCAGCTGCTCTGGGTTTGTAGATTTTCTTGGTACAAGATTCATGATCCTGACATGTCTAGCATCCTGGGGCTTTGTCTTAGTGTTACTATTGCTGAGATGAAACACCATGACCATAGCCACTTGGGCAAGAAAGGGTTCATTTTATCCACAGTTCCATTTAATCATCCACAGCAGTAAGGACAGGAACCTGGAGGCAGGAACTGATGCAGAGGCCATGGAAGACGGCTGCTTACTGGCCTGCTCCTTTTCATTATAGATCTGCCTAGGAGTGGCGATTAATAACCAAGCAACACAGTCAATACTTGGCTATCTTGAAATCTCCTCTGCCAATGCTGTCAATCCAAAAGTCTTGGATTTAGCCTCAGGCAGATTTTTAGGACATGGGCCAAAACACCATAGCCTTGACCAAAATATCACAGGGACAGTCTCTAGGCCCATTACTGATATTTCTTCTCTTCTGAAACCTCTTGAGCCAGGCCATTGTAACTTACATTACTTTCAGCACCACTGTCTTCCATGTTCCTACTAGCATGGTCCCACTGTGGTGGTTTGAAAGAAAATGGCCCCAAAAGGGAGTGGCGCTATTGGGGGGTGTGGCCTTGGAGAGTAGGTGTGGTCTTGTGGAGAAGTATGTCACTGTGATGGCAGTCTTTGAGGTCTGTTTGCCCTGGCTTTGGTCAGTTTGACACTGAGACCATGCTCCCATCATGACGGTGATGGACTGAACTTCTGAAATGTAAGCTACCCCAATTAAATGTTTTTCCTTTATGAGTTGCCCTGGTCACAGGGATAAAACCCCTAAGACAGAAAGAAGGTGGTACCAAGGATCGAGGTATTGCTCTGATAGGCTGGACTGTGTTTTTCTTGGGAGAAATATGTACTTCGGGAGTTTGGGTTAGGAAAGCAGTGGAATGTTTTGGCACTGCTTAATGGGCCATACTTTAGGGGCATGGAAGACAGTGAGTGATGCAGAGAGCTACTTGAACTGTTGGGGGTTCACTCCAGAGGTTTCAGAGGGGAAGAATGTTAGTATGTAACCTAGACATCTTTCTTGTGACTGTTTTGGTGAAGAATGTGGCTGCTTTTTGCCCTTGTCTGAAGAGTCTGCCTGAAGCTAAAATGAAGAGATTTGGATTAATTCCACTGGCAGAGGAAATCTCACAACAGCCTAGTATAGACTCTGTTGTGTGGGTATTAGTGGGAACTCTAGTGAAGATTTATAATGAAAATGAGTGATAAAATAAAAACTTTGAGGAAAACCGGAATGGAGTTAAATGGAATGGGCTTAGGCCCTGTGTTCAAAGAGATAAACAGATTAAGAAATGGAACAAAGGGAGTGGTGACCTGAGGGCAAGAGTCCACCCAGCTAAGTTTGTAACTTGTGCAAAGGAACTAAAGAAGAGATTAGAGCCAGGTGTGGTGGTGCACACCTTCAGTCCTAGCACCGGGAAGGCAAAGGCTGGCAGACCTCTGAATCTGAGGCCAGCCTGGTCCACAGATCCAGTTTCAGCACAGCCAAGGTTAGGCAGTGAAAGAAAGAAAGCTGGTGAAGATTTCATTGAACAAGGGGCCATGTTCCAGCCCTAGTAGCAGATGAAATTGGCATCTTCAGCCACGTGGTTCTCGAGTTAAGGATGGAAGAAAGGGGCGGTGGAATTTGTCCTTGGGACTAAGGAAAGCTGCTGAGGCCCAGCATGTATCAGGGGTTTCCCTGAATGCAGGCCTAGACAGGCCATTGCATGAAGCTGTGAAGTTGAATCCCGGATTGCCTTGGAGACCCCATGATGCCAGAGTCATGGGATACCTTCCAAGGGGAGCTGCTAATACTGAGTGGACTCAGCCCAAGAGAAAGAGGTGTGTTGCAGTCAAACCTGAATGGAGCTGGAGATCTGGAGAGTGTTTTGACATCTGACATGGAGAGGCAGTTTGGAGTTTTCCCAGCTAGTTTTTAGATTTGCTTTAGTCCAGTATTTCTTTACTATGCACCCTTCTGTACATTTTGCAATGGTAATATGTATATCCTGTGCCATTATATGTTGAAAGTATGTGATTTGCTTTTTATTTTTATTTTAAAGGTAATTACAGTTAAGAAATTACATGAATATCAGAAGAGACTTTGAACTGCAGACTTTTAAACACTGGTGAGACTGTGATAGACTTTGGGGACTTTTGAGATTGAACTGAATGCATTTTTACATTTTTTGTTTTGGTTTTTTTTGTGGGGGAAGGTTTCTCTGTATTGCTTTGGAGGCCTTCCTGAAACTCAATCTAGGGATCAGGGCGGCTGGGAACTCACAGAGATCTGCCTGCTTCTGCCTCCCAAGTGCTGGGACTAAAGGGGTATGCCACCAAGGCTCAGCTCATTTTTGCATTATGATATAGCTACAAGACTTTGGGTGCCAGGTAGTAGAATGTGGTGCTCTGAAAAAAATTCCCCCCAAATGGAGGAGCATTGGGTGGTGTGGTCTTCTTGGAGGTAGTGTGTCATTTTGGGTGACCATTAAGGCAGTGAGATGTCTCTATCAACTCTGTAGTTTATATATTATCCTTCTGAGGTCTTGGATGGAATTGAAGACCTACAGTTATGATTATAGTTTTCCTTAGTTATGACAAAAAATAAGTTACACATAAAAATATAGACTCACAAAGATAGAAAAGATGATAGAATATTCTCTTTAAATTTTGCCAAATCTTAATGGACTAAATATTGTAACCATAATTTTTGCTTAATAACTGTTTTGTTGCTGGGCGTTGGTGGCGCACGCCTTTAATCCCAGCACTCGGGAGGCAGAGGCAGGCGGATCTCTGTGAGTTCGAGGCCAGCCTGGTCTACAAGAGCTAGTTCCAGGACAGCCTCCAAAGCCACAGAGAAACCCTGTCTCGAAAAACCAAAAAAAAAAAAAAACTGTTTTGTTATATATATTTTTACTATGTTAAAGTTAAAACCTTCATTTTTATTTAGACAGAAAACAGGAGATGATGGGGGATGTCCCTCTGTATGCTGTAAATATATGTTTCCCTTTTTGAATAATGAATAAAGTTGTTTTGGCCAATGGACAGACATGATGTAGCTAGGCAGGAAGTGTAGGCTGGACTACCAGACTAAGAGAATTCTGGGAAGAATTATGCAGAGAGTGAGTCACACAGGAGATACCATGTAGCTTCCAAGGAAGCAAGAGGTCTGGGCATTCTCCAGTAAGCTAAGACCATGTGGAGATACATAGATAAATAATTAAGAGAGAGCTAGCCAGTAATAAGCCTGAGCAAGAGGCCAAACAGTTAATAATTAATATAAGCCTCTGTGTGTTTATTTGGTATTCAACAACTGCAGGACAGGGTAGGATACAAAATTCTGTCAACAGGTAGGGTCTTATTTATGATCTGTAGTATTAACAATACAAGGTTAGGAAGCCACAGTAGAGACCCCACTCCCAGTACTAATTTTGTGTTAGTTACTTTTCTTGTTGCTATAATGAAATGCCTGAAAGAAGCAACTTGAGACTGGTTTGGCTTGCCTTGTGGCTCAGGGCATGCAGCCCATACTGGTGGGGAAGGCATGGGAGCAGAAGACTGTTGGCTCCTGTCTCAGAGATCAGAAAGCAGAGGAAGGGCAATGGTGCACTCAGTTGGCTTCTTTCTCCCTTTTTCTTCAGCCCAGAGCCCCGTCCCCACTGGATGAGATGCTGCCTTACACATCCCTCAGTTCTCTCTGGATGCCCCACCCACTCATCCAAAGGCCTGCATCACTGACGCCCCAGGGCTTTCCTAATCTAGGTATACTGACAGTCAAAGGAACTCATCTACTAGACAGCTGGGTTACATCTCGAGTACCTGTGACACATCTGAAAACGACGTGTGGATAAAGTGCATGGAAACTCACAAAACTCAGTGGCAGAAAACCAAGCATCTCAAGCCAGGACATGACACACACCCGTGTTCCCAGGGCTTGGGAAGCTCGGGCAAGTAAACTGTGAGTTTCAGGCTAGCCTGGACTCATACCAAAAAACAAAAATGAACAAAAAAAAACAATAATGATAATAAATTAATAAATGCACTTTACAATGTGCTGTCACTACACACTTGTTAAAATAGTTCAACTAAAAAAAAAACATTGAAGCTACAGGTATATTGTGATGGCTAAGGAGCCTCTGTTTTGTGCTAGGCATCCATTCTAAATTCCTAAAGGATAAATTTCCTGACTCCTCCTGGCTCCCCAGAATTGCGTAAGTATTATGAAATGATTAACCACTTGCTTTGGGTTCTGTAAACTCACTTATCACTGTGTGCAGGGGGAGTCAGGCAGTTCCTCACACAGCTGTAAATTCTGCAGAAATTAGTGGGTTTTTTCCCTTTAAAAGCTCTTTCTTCACTTGTTTGTGGGTAGCACATCTCTGATTTTGGATTAGAGACTGTGGCCTTGCTAGCAGCTTTAATAAATCTGGCTAACTATAATCTCAATTGAGTCTGCTGGTCTTTTCCCGGTGGTCTTAAATTCTATAACAATATCTCAGTGATGTAGTGCATGTAAGACTGTGGCTTCAGTTCTCACTACCAAAATGATGATGATGAGGAGGAGGAGGAGGAGGAGGAAATAAACTGGTGAGACTATAGAAAAACTAGATCATTCATTGCATTGCTGGAATGTAAAAGGAATCATTCTTTCCCCCCATTTTTGAGCTGCTCATGTAGCTTGTGGTTGCTGACCGTACATGAAGACTCTGGATTCAAAACCCGGTATATGTTTTTCTTATATGTAGTTGGAAGCTATTGAGTACTGCAGCTGCTTATAAACTAATCATTCTGAGGCTTAATATTAATTATAATTGTTTGGCCAGTGGCTCAGGCATATTACTGACTGGCTCTCTCAACTCAATTAACCCATTTCTACTAATCTGTGTATCACCACGTGGCGTGGCTTACCAGTAATGTTCTGGCATCCTACTTCTCCAGCAGCTGCACGGTGCCCCCCAGCTCTACCTTCTTTCTCTTTGTATCTATGCTTGCATAGCTATAGTCTACCTGGCTACTGCCAAATCAGCTTCTTTATTAACAAATAAATAAAATAAAATAAAACATGACTGTAGCATACAGAGGGGCATTCCATATCATCTCCCCCTTTTGTGTCTAATTACAAAGGAGGTTTTATCTTTAACATATAAAATTGTATATAAAAAACAGGTATAAAGTAAGAATTAGTTATAATAGTCTATTTCTATTTGCCAAAATTAAAGAAAATACTCTATCATTTACTCTATCTTAGTGAGTTTAAAGTTTTATATCTAATTTATCTTTCATCATAACTAAGGGAAGCCATGATTATAAGTATCTAGCCTTTAACTTCATCAAAGACCCCAGAAGGATATACTATTATCTAAGTAAACAGTAAGTTCATCATAAGCAACTTCCAAAACTCTAGAAATGACAGAGATATCTGGCTGCCTGGACAGTCACCCAAAGTTCTTCTGTAACATTGGGGCACCCATCTTCAGCCTATAGGCCTAGAGTACCTGGCGGACTTCTCAGTGAAGCAGGAAAGTTAAAGATATGTTCTAACTTGTACTGGCAAAGTTCATCAGCTGCTTCCTTCTGTGTCGTGTAGACTGTCGACCAGTTTCTTCTGTGAAGCAGAAAACCCAAAGAACCATCCCATCTTCTTTTGGCAAGTTCAACAGTCACTTTCCTGTGGATCCTACATGTCCAGTTTATACAGCATACCATCAAGCAATCAGGCAAGAGCAGTTTCTTGCCCAAATGACTAGCAAACTCCATAAAAAGCCTCTTCAATGCCCATCATCCTCTTGAAGTAATTGTTGCTGCCAGGAGCAGACATGTCTCACTGTCCAGTAAAGTCTAAGATCTTAAAACATTTTAATACTATATTGTGTAAGTTTTTGAAGTGTTGGAAAATTATCTAGCCATCTGAAATACATCACTGCATATCTAGAAAACCTAATGTGACTGTAAGTTTGACTATTATAGATGACTATTAATTTGTATTTAACTATACATTACACTTTAAAATGAGCTGTATAGATATAATACCTTAAACAAGAGTAGAAATATATATATATATAGCATAACAAAATTGATCTTAAATTTATATTGATAAACCCAAATCCATACCAAAGTAAAGTACCCATTTCTTTATTTTTTATTTATTTATTTGTTTTTATTTTACGAGACAGGGTTTCTCTATATTGTTTCGGAGGCTATTGGTCCAGCCCGGCCTCGAACTCACAGAGATCCGCCTGCCTCTGCCTCCCGAGTGCTGGGATTAAAGGCATGCGCCACCACCGCCCGGCCTAAAGTACTCATTTCTATATCATATCCTCTTTTTTTTATTAGAAACAGATTGACTGTGACCATTAACCATTTATATCCAACCCCCTTTAAATTAAAACAAACCTTTATAAACAATATTTGGGAATTTGGGCACTCTAGAACTACTTCCTGCTGATTGGGGGCATTGGTAATCTTATGGGGATCTTGAGAAAATTTAGATTTATGGTCAAGTCCTGCCTGGGGTATTTTGTGTGGTTGGTCCATCTCAACCTGCAGTCCTGAAGCTGTTCTGCATGTTGGATCACATGGGCCATTGATTCAGGGGGGTCTTGTTTGATCAAACCATATTAGCTTAGAAGGAATCCACAGCTTCTGGTCTTCTGTAGAAGCGAAAGCAGAACCTCTTTTCCAAAGCAACATATTCTTAGACCCAAATTTCAAAGGCAAGATACCTTTATGTTTAGCTTAGTGGCCCAATAATTGTCTCTCTGTAGTTAGCTCATTAACAGTCAAAAAACAAGAAAACACAGTAGTATACATAATCCAGACTCTCTGTGTATTTTCCATCTTTACATGCCCATTATAATTTTTTTCTTTAAGGACCTCAGTTTATTATCCTTAAATTATTTTTTTATCTATGGCTCTGTCCATCCTCTATCCTCTCTCTCTCTCTCAAGCCCATGCACATTTACCACACACTGTGACCCTTCTTTGTCTGAATCTGTCCTTATTACGCATCTGTAATCACTTTGTGACCGTTGACTTAAATTGTTAAGCGGGACTGGCTAGGACCAGAGTGGCAGCTTTGGCTTTCCAACAGGGGAGGAAACAGAGAGAATCACACTTCCCAAACTCTGGGAAGCAGTACTAAGTAGCACACAGCTGAGCTCTTACTTCTCAAGCCCACAGGCAGTCAGTGGCTGGGAGAAGCCTCTCTCTCTGTACTGCAGCCACTTTAAGAGACTGGGGAATCTGCCATGCTGCTTAGCACATGGTGATTGGTGGCCCCCCCTCAGCGGAAATGCCTCTCTTTCTGCATCTCAGCCAGCATAAAAGACTAGAAACCCTAGTGAGGTTCTGTTTCTGTGTGTTTAGAACCCTTTTAAAGCTTTTTTAGGTCTTATGTGGATCCATACCAGACAGTGGGCGACCAATGTGGCTGGAAACTTTTATGCATTCCACCCTTCCTGCAGCCACTTATAATCACAATGAGGCTTAATATTTATTACAATAGTTTGTCCAGTGGCTCAAGCGTATTACTGACTTGGTCTCACAATTAGATTAACCCATTTCTACTAATCCGTGTAGCACATGGCAGTGGCTTACAGGCTTACTCCATTTCTATTATTCCATATTTTACCACGAGGCTCCTGGGCGCCTGGATTGTTATCTCACTCCTTGCTTCCCCTGTGGTTTAACGGAGTCTCCCTGACTCTGCCTCCTTTTTCTCCATAACTCTGGATTTCCCACCTGGTTCTATTCTGCCTGGCCATTTGCCAAATCAGCTTTATTCATCAACCATTATTCACTGAATCAGGATCTCCCAATCAGACACACAGCTTACTGATACAACTAACCTTGCTAGCAAACTTACTCTGGGACTCTCATCTCAGCTTTCCAAGACTGGAATTAAAGGTGGGTTGCCATGTAAAATGTCATTTACAAGGGTGTGGGGATCTAAACTCAGGTCCTCATGCTTGTGTAAAAAGCACTTTAACCACTAAGCCATCTTACCAGCGCCAGGAATAGCTATTCTTTTTTTTTTTTTAATGAAGACAACAGTTTATTCTGCCTCATAGTTCAAATGTATAGTCTATCATGGATAGGAAGGCATGGAACAACAATTCTTTTTTTTTAAGATCTATTTATTATGCATACACTGTTCTGCCTACATGTCAAAAGAGGGTACCAGATCTCATTATAGATTGTTGTGAGCCACCATGTGGTTGCTGATCTTTGAACTCATGACCTCTGGAAGAGCAGCTATTACTACTAACCACTGAACCATCTCTCCAGCACAAAACAACCATCCTTTTTTGTTTGTTGTTTTTTGAGACAGGGTTTCTCTGTGTAACAGTTCTGGCTGTCCTGGAACTAGTTCTGTAGACCAGGCTGGCCTTGAACTCACAGAGATTTGCCTGCCTGTGACTCCTGAATGCAGGGATTAAAAGTGTGTGCCACTCACTGGCAGAGAAGGAGAGATTACTCAGCAGTTAAGAGCACTGGCTGCTCTTCCAAAGGACCCAGGTTCAATTCCCAGCACCCATATGGCAGCTCACATCTGTCTGTAACTCCAGGTCCAAGGAAGCCTACACAGTCACACAAACTGAAAGACCCCTACCCAGGACCCCCTAGGAAAAGAAAAACAAGGCCAGGCCATTGCCTAATGAAAAAACCCAGACCAGGTGCCTCGCCCAGCTGGCAGGATGTCAAACAGGATCTGTGGTCACCAGAGCAGTCATGGGACCCGGATAATAATTGCTGAAGCTTGCCGGGGTCTTTCATGAGGTAATACCAGGAAACTTAGTCCGTGGGAACTACCCCTGCCCCCAAGATGAGCCAATGAAATGCCTGTTGCTATGCTGATACTTATGTAACCATTAAAATTCTATAAATATTGTGCTCCCTGGAAGCTAGGTATGCTCTGCACCCGAGTTGCAGTAGCATCCGCAGGCGCCTGTGTACTCAATAAATCACCTCTTGCATTTGCAGCCAGTGGTCTGGCCCCGGTTCTTGGGCAGAGGGTTCGGTTCAGTGCCCAGCGCTTTGATGCCGAGGTCTTTCAAAACATGAAGGCAAAACAACAATGCACATTAAAATAATAGTTTGGCAGACCTTCTGAAAATTAAGTATGGTTCTATACGAGCAACTGCCCTTTGTGCATTTATTTCTGGAGAGCTATTGAAAATGTATATTCATATAAAAACAAGTACACAACTATTCATAGTAGCTTTTCTGGCAATAACCCCAAACTAGAAACAGTCCAAACGTCCTTCATCAGAGGTTTCTCTGTATTGTTTTGGAGACTGTCCTGGAATTCGCTCTGTAGACCAGGCTGACCTGGAACTCACAGAGATCTGCCTGCCTCTGCCTCCCACGTGCTGGGATTAAAGGTGTGCATCACCAATGCCCGGCTCTCAGTTTGCTTCTTATAGAACCCAAGACCATCTTCTTGGGGAAGCACCACCCACAGTGAGCTAGGTACCACCACATCAACCATTAACTCAAGAGAACATCTCACAGACAGGCCCACAATACAGGTTAATTCTTCAATTGGCAGCAATTTTTTCCTCACTAAGCCATCTTACCAGCCCAATGAAAACACATACACACACAAAGATATTTATTGTTTCATATGTGTGTATGTGTATATAAAATGATTCTGATTATAAAACATTCTCAAAGGACAAAATCATGTAACCAGAGAACAGGTTAATGGTTGCCAGGGGTTAAGGGTAACATCGGGTATACTGTGGTGATGACTCTTCAGTCTCATGACCTAAGTGGTGGTCACACAAATCTACCATGTGATAAAAATCACAGAGATCTAAATATGAACGCACAAATGAGCACGTGTAAAACTGGTGAAATCTAGATAAGCTTGGCTGATTGTGTCAGTGCCAATTTCCTGGTTATTATATTGTACTATGGTTACGTAAGATGTGCCAGTGAGTAAAATGGGCTGAAGGGCACATGAAAGCTTTCTGGATTATTGCTCACAACTGTATATGAACCTACGATTCTCTCAAAATAAAGAGTAATGCAAGTGACAGCTTGAAAGAGCATCCACTGGAACCCTGAGTGCAATCCAGAGAGACAGCTCAGCGGGTAAAGCCACCAAGCAAGCATAATGGCCTGAGTCAGATTCCAGGACCCATAGGGTGAGAGGAGAGAACCGACTCCAGCAAGTTGTCCTCTGACCGTCACCCAAGTGCTGTGACTTGTGTGCATGCGCACACACACTGTTTAAGTTCTTTGCATCTTCAGGTCCCATCTTGGGAGATGATGGGAGGTGAGAAAATTTCCTCTGAGTTGTCCAGCATTTCAGAGTACAGTTGTTCACAGTAATTTCTAATACGCTCTGATTTCAGTGCGACACCCTTGACCTCTAATTTTATTAACTTGTCTTCTTGTCACATTAGCTAAAAGTTGTCTGTCTCACTTTTTCAAAGAACCAACTCTTTGATTTTGTACTGTCATTTTAATCTCAATTTCATTATTCTCCCCTGATCTGTATCATTTCTTGATGTCTACTATGTTTAGGGGTGGCTGCTCGATTTCTGACGGTTCATCATTACATTATTTCATATCTCTTGACTTTGTTTGTTTGTTTTGGTTTTCGTTTTCTGAGTCAGGGTTTCTCTGTGTAGCCCTGGTTGTCCTGGAACTCACTCTGTAGACCAGGCTGACCTCAGACTCACAGACATCCACCTGCCTCTGCCCCCCAAGTTCTGGGATTAAAGGTGAATGCCATCACCGGCTATCTCTCAGATTTTAATTTGAGGACTTAGAGCTATGAACTTTCCTCTTAGGGCTTCCCTGGCTTCATCCCAGAGGCTGTGATGGGATGTGCTTTCAATTTCATTTGTCTCTAGGGTCATACTCATTTGTACTAACAGTCTACTCCTGGAGGAGGAAATTAGGAAACAAATTCCATTCAAAATAACTCTGCCCCCAAATTAAACATTTAGGGATATATTTAACTGAATACAATGAAAACTTCAAGATTCTGAAAAAGGATTGCAGGAGATATCAAATAGTGGGAAATTATTACATTTTCCTGAATAGGCAGAATTAGTATTGTGAAAATACCTGTACTGAAAACTTAAGATAAAGAATGAATGTATAC